TCTGTTATTAGGATAGAAAATCAAAGTTTCATTTCTTCATTTTGGAAGTATAAAATTGATGATCAGAACTTTGATGAAAATTTTTTTACCAAATTTTCAGTCGGTTCAATGAATATAATTTGTCATCATTGTGATGCTCGCCATTTTCAGGGTGAAATGTCCAATGGTCATTTTAATAACTGCTGCCAAAATGGCTTAATTTCTTTACCGAGTATTCGGACAAATACCGATTTGAAATCATTATTTTTATATTCTCCAAATTTCATAAAGCATATCAGAAATTATAATAGTGCTGTTGCTTTTGCCTCTTTCTCTGCAAATCGAATTGATATTCCGGGTGATGGACCTTATTGCTTTAAAGTTCAAGGATCCATGTATAGGTAAGTTTATTTAATATTTATTTTATTTTTTATTTTATTTTCTTTATCTTCTTTAAAATTAGTTTGAAAACAAATGTAAAACCTAAAAAATAATTTTGTATGAAGATTAAAACAAAATTTTAGTTTAAATTTTACTAAATAAAATTACAATTTTTGAAAACATTTGCTATATTTATTCTCTCAAAGAAATAATTAGACCCGATTCAAAGACAAAACAGAAAATTAAATGAAAATAAATAAAAAAAAAAAAAAAAAACATGTGAAAGTGAAAAGTGTACAGGAAAAATAAGGGGCTGCGAAGCAGCCCCATAGGCCCCTAGTACGTATGTAAATCTATTTCATTTTTTGTGACAACTTAGTGCTGAAGCAAGTATTCGTAGGACATCACGCTGGCACCCGCCTCGTGGTTCCAAAAGATTTGGTGTCTAGACCATTTCGGGGCAGACAAGTGTAAACAACCAACGAAACCGCCAACCACCACCATCACCCTAGTGCACCAAGAAATCGTGTTCGAAGCCGAAATGAACATTCTCGGGTCGGAAGAGAAACTGGAAATTATCAAAACGGGGCCAGCGCCAAACCTATCCAGGTATGACCATCCTCAATTCCTTCTAAGAGCCATCGTCATAGCAATTGGCTGCTATTATTGGTTCAGACGATCGCAGAAATAAAGGACGGCACGCCTCGAGAGACAGGTCACGAACGTTGTTAAAAGAATTAATGATCTAAATTATGTGATCAACATGGGAAAATTCAATAAGGCAACAGGGGAAATTGTTCATGTATCAAAATTGAAAAAATTCTACGAACTTTTTACTACATATTCTCTTAAAAAATATTAAATTTCTGAGTCATACCTTCTTTCCTAATTCTTCGTTCTACGTGGACTTACTTTCTGGTAAGGATTGTGGTAACACAATACGCGGAAGGGAACTCATTTGCAATTTCCGCTATTTCATATCCTTTTTTTTAAGAATTTTTAAGAGATGCTCTCACATTTTTAGCATGTCTCACTCCTCCAGCCATCGAGTTAACTTCTAGTGCTTTTTCCTTAAACTTTTTTCAATATGTTTTCTTTCAAAATGGGAATCGCGAGTAACGATGTTAATTCCTCAGTAAACGACTCTAATAACAAGTGTATTATCTTTACCTTTACTCAAGATTTAATTCAAAATCTTTTATTGTTTTTGATTGTTCTTGCTGCAATAGTATTTTTCTTAGTGAAATGGTGCACTAAGTTAAAAGCTCATGATCAAGCTGTCAAAACGGAGCTAAAAACCCTACGACAGCTGACCCTAGGGGTACAGCTGACATTGATAGTCCGATCTAAAAACTGTAAGTCTCCATTTTTTAAAATTTACTTATAATTTTTTAATGAACTTTTGATTTTTTTTTTAACAATTTTAGCTTCACGTGGACTTGCTTTTGTTTGTTATTTTTTTACGGCAAGGGTCGTGGGGACACAACGCTAAAATTTGAACCTAATCAAAATTTTCTTATTTTCGTTTAGCAAATAATTCGCCCTCCCTTCTTGAATCAGCAGTCAAGTGATTGCAAACACCGTATTGTGATGGCTCTTAAGGGAATTGTTGAGTCAGAAACTCTGCTTCTGGGCTGGTCGTTCATTCAAAAAAGAGCTATTTCGCGGATTGTTTGGCTTTGGAAGGTACCTTCACGGAATAATGACTGTGATGTTTCGTTGATTTCTTTTCCTGAGTCACATTCATCGTTTGGTTCCCTCGCTCTTTAGGCGTCGTAAAGTTTTGTAACTTTCACTGCAGCAATTAATATGAGTATCCATAGAGACTTGGGGATGGAAACTGTCTCACAGTTTATAACCAAAGTTGCCACCAACTATAAGAGACGACTCCATCACCACCCCAATACAGAGGCATTATTATTACTAGATAACTCAAATGAGTACAGACGTCTCAAACGGGTGAAACCGTGGGAACTGGCCAGCCCCTTGGTTTGAACCATTAATTTTAATACTTTTTAACACTCACATATTTAGATAAGTTACAAACTACTCGGTCGTTTGTATTTTCTACCTTATTCTTTAGAGACAAAGTGTATATTTTCTTGTGAAAGGTCACTTAATACTAATAAAAAGAAAAAAAAAGAAAAATTAATATGAGCATCTTTTTCAGAGAACAGCGCAAAATATTGTTGCAGTAAATTACACAAACTTTAAGGTGATCGAATTATTTGTTTAAACATTTCCCAGTAGATCTGTCCACTATTTTTGTGCAGTGGGATAGTAAAGGCATCCCCTCGAGTACAGACGCAAATGCATATCAACATGGCACTCGATTTCAAGGGACAGCGCGACCGACTGCATTTGTGATCTTCCACACAAAAATAATGTTAATGGTGAAACTTTGCAGCCTCCGTAATTCGCAATTTAATGTAGTGCATGAGTCCTTGAGTACTATTAGATTAGAAGCGGTGGTCTAGCGTCAAAAGGATGTGCTTCGATGCCTTGCTAAACTTTGCTTCAACAAATCATTGACTCACCGTTGTATTGTTGAGGTAGGTAATACACACGTATAACGATGTGATTGAAATATGTGACAATGCTATATTGTGGATATGGACCTTTAAATTTCGACTAACGAAAGCAAACAATCCAAAAGTCATGTTCGAATGTCGATGTCTACGATCTTCACAAGGATCATATGAAAAAACTATTAAATGATTGACTGATAAAAGACAATTTTGCTTTGACTCCATCTGAAACAATTAAGAAATCATCTTCTGGTAACATCTGAAATGGGTTTCAACTGCTTGGGCTCATGTCAATGAGGAGTCTTTGCATAGAGGGTTCAAGAGGTGTTGTAAGAACACCTGATGCATGAAGATCCTCTGGTTAATTCTCAGAAGTCCCAATTTTTGTCAAAATGTTTAATTTTAATTTTTGCGAAATTGATATTTGTTTTGAGAATTGAGATATTTAGATAAGAGCTTAACTCTTTATTATCTTAATTGCGCTCATTACATTCATTTTCAGTCTCTCGTAATAACGACTTTTTTGATAAACTTTAAAAACTCGAACGCGCCTTTTTATCGAGGTTCGATCTGGTATTCCTGCCGGGAGCCTCGGCCTGGCGGGATCTCACTCTCTTGCCTACCTCGGACCCCGCTCCTACTTCTCTCTCTCGTTTTCGACTTGGCGTTATTTTGGATTCTGGACTTACGATTTTCGGAACTTGGAAACCCCGGACAACTGTGGTGAATCGTCAAAAGACTTTTCTTTATCCTCTTTGGAATCTATTTCATTTTTAGACGACTTTAATAATTTTAAATGAGCTATTAATCTCAATTTTTCATTTTTTCAAAATTCTTAAAATTTTTCCATTTAATAAATTGTAAAACGCCAGACTTCTTTGTCTTTATTGACTTGCATCAAAATCCCGATCGTAAAAAGCATGAATGTTTAAATTTTATTTTTCATCAGTTTGCTAATTTGCTCTCCCACTCTGTTTTAGCATTTGTAGTTGTCTAAATACTTTCTTTTTCACTCTAAGGGTGAATCTCGAAGTATTTCGTCAAGAACATCTCATCAATCGCTCCTCCAGAGATCGAGTTGATTCTTTATAAGAGTAAATCATAAATTTTATAAAATTACTTCTTATAGAGAATCGAATCCATCTCTGAAGGAAGGGTGACCTTTCCCTAGTTGGGAATTTCCCTTATAAGGGTGGCCATCTCAGTTTGTAACCAAGACTAGTTTCTGCATCAAAACTTTAAAAGTTACAAAAAAATGCTAGATCAGCAAGAAACCAAAATTAATGCCATTTTTTTCTCTTTTTTTTTCAAATATATCTAAAAAAATGTTACCAATGAGTAAATGAATAAATTTACCCTCAGGTACTGTTCTGTTTCATTCTGTTCTGTTTCATTCTGTTCTATTTCACTTATTTCAGCTCATTTTCCTATTTGGTCATTTCGAAAAACAATACATATCAGCATCTGATAATGCAGGGTGGCAAGGCTTGATTCAAAATAACATTTTTTTCCTAAAATTTTGATACATAATTTGGGGGTCATCTCAGAATTGAACAATGTTTAAAAAGGTTCGATTTGAAAGCCTAAAAATGCAAGAATTCCAAGCATTTACTGCCTATTTGCCTCTGTCTCGGACTGCAGTCTGAGGCGTTTCTGGCAAACTGACAGTAGGTTAAAAAGCGAATGAAGACAGTTTCTTCATTGATCATCAACCATATTTTAGCTAAATGTACACAAATTGGTGAAAGGATCTCAAAATTCACTAGATTTTGGTATGAAAGTCATTCCATGTCTGAAAGGGACCTTCTTTCAAATACAGATGGAGCTCCTTTACCCATGAGAGCCCTGCTCCAATATTATGCTTGCTCCCCATCTCTGATGTACACGCTGATATGTCTCTAAACTCTTATCCACCATACCTGCAGCACTTGAAATGAGGAGGCAGGGAGCATGGAACCGAAGGAACAGAGATTCAATGCTCTTTCTTAGGAGGTTTTATCTGCTCCCACAAGTTTTTGGACAGTAGCAGATTTCTTCAACATGATTTTACAATTCTGATTCAGTAATACCAGAATTTGTCCTTGCAAGTAGATGTGGGACATCTACTATCACTTACGGCTCAGACTGTCCATTTCTTGATGGCTTGTCATTGGTCGAACAGAGATCTTCATCTTGTGCGTCCTCGTCATCTAAAGATGCTTCTACATCCGAATCCTCTGCAATTGGGTCATCTGGGACATCAAACAGAAGTGGGAGTGAGTATTTATCAGTGAATCAAAATAGCAATTCAGATTAAAATGCAAAAGACAGCTACGTCCAAATAAAACTTGATGAGCATCATCAGGATTTAAAACGGCCTTTCAAAACTAAAGACTTTTCAGGAGTTTTCAATGACTTTGGAATAAATAAATAGATGACGTTTTGATGAATTCATAAAAGAATTTTGAATAACTACCAGAGGAGATTTCACAGAAACTCGATAAAAATGGCTCATTGCCAATGTTGATAATGAAATAAAGAATTTTCTTTAAATTAAATGCATTTCTACGTCAGGTAAATGATGCAGTGGCGAGGAATATTTGCAGGGTTGTAGTTTAGTTTCTGTGATGTAAAATTTCGTGAAAAAACCAAAAAGTTCATACTCGAAAGGGAGAGGAAGCTAATTAAAACTCAATTAATCAAAATCTGACAGTCGAGTTGCTAATGCAAGGCTGCTTCTGAAGCTAAGTTCTGCCAATCATCAAACGCCGTTTCTCCCTTCTGGTTGCGCCCTTAGAGTCTACCAAAAATGCTCTTAGAAAACTATTTGAGGCGTAAGTTCCAGCAGAGAAAAACGACTGATCTTGATGAAATTACACAAATACTAGCTGATGTAAAATTTAAGGAGTCATAAAAAACGGATATACTAAAAACTTCCGTTCGACAGTTTTGCATCTTTTTCTTCTAAAATTTTAGGAGATTTCATCCATCGACGAAAGAAATTTACCTAATGATGGGTTGAAAACTTTGCAGATGCTGGTCAGAAAGAAAAGAGAATCAGCGAATTAAAGACCTCAAAACTACAAAATAACTCAAAGTTACGCTAATGCGTTTCAGGCAGCCCCTTCTTCAAGATTAAAATTTCAACTTTGTTGAAACACATCAGCGTTTACTTGAATAGAGTTTAAGAGTTCAAGTTTTTTTAATTTTCCGATCCTCTTTGTTCCCTGTTCATCCAGCTCATAGATTACTATTTTCCTTTTTCTGTTAGTTTTTATTGATTTTGGTTTCATAGTAATGATGAAGTGTTAAACTTTGTATAGGTATTAGGTCATAAAGAAATTCAAACACAAAAACTTTAGAGACCAAACGGTCTGTTGCACACCAGAGATGCAGTCAACTGAGCAAACTGAAGTAGGTGAAATTGCACCAAAAATATATGTATAAAAAAAAAAAAAAAAAAAAAAAAAAAAAAAAAAAAAAAAAAAAAAAAAAAAAANAAAAAAAAAAAAAAAAAAAGTTTGGCACATCAGAAATGTCAAAACTGCACTTCAAAATTCATATTTAGCATAATCCATACAAAGAGTGGCCATCTTTGTAGCGTTCGCAAGCTCTCTTATCTTCGCTACCAATGATCAAGTTTTCCAGAGAGAGATACAAGAAAGCCCGACAAGCAGTTTTGCAAACTGCTAACAATCGTTTCCATCAAAGAGCTTGCCTTTGTTTCTTTTGGCATAAGAAGCAAAAAATGAATTCAAATCAAAATCATACGTGAGAACGACTGAACTATGAATTCTGGCTCTTCTGGAAAAATACTTATGTGCATAGGGAAACTAATGGCACGTGCGTTGTTTTTAAACCGGGCTGGAATTTACAGTTCCAAATTGCAAAAAGTAGTCCAAATATACGACCCCAACTTCCGTTGCTGCTTCTCAGTACAGTTAGATGTAAACAAAGATGCTTCTCTTGGCAGAGAAAATTATATACAGAAAGTAGGCTAATGATAACCATTAGTAAAGTTTCGTTCCTACCAAACTGAACATTGACATTAAAACTTACAATAACTCTGGCCTAAACGTAAGAAGACAAAAGTCTCCAATTCACGAAGAGTTCTGGGTTGCAAAGTTTCGAAATCCAACTCTACTTCATCCGGGTTCTCCGACAGACGAGGCTCTCGGGATTGAATGATGTTGATTATCTCAGCCAAGTCACTTCCTGCAAAATATGGCAACATATAAATTAGAACTTGCTAGTTAGTAGGTCACTTTATTTTTGATGGTATCTTGCCTACGAGTATAATATGAAATACAAAATCGACCAGAGAATTATCATCCAACAACTAAAACTTTGAAAAAACCACGAGACAAATTATTTTTCTTCTATAATACATCTGCTCCTTCTTCTATGTCAGCGTCTATGAAATCAACTATTCAAAGAGGTCATTTAATATTTCCTGGTTGATACTCAGAAAAGAACTTAAATCATAATTAGTTAATCGATTGATGTTGGCGTTCTTCATCGGTACGGTATCGTCGAATAATCCCTTATTCGTGGGTGCGGTGCCGTCAAATAAAACGTTATTTGTCGGTGCCGTATCTCAAACTAGAAAATATTCTAAGTACCACTAAGGTGACTTCACGTGATGGCTTTTTTGTCACGAAGATACGTGATTTTTCCGATGATTTTACGTACAAATTCAGAAAATACGGGATAATCGCATCGATATCGCAGCAAATAACCTTTTTCGTAAGGTCATTAAAAAATACACAAAATTTAATTCAATATCACGGCAAAAACGCAAATTTTTCAGTGGTTGGTGACATTCTCATGACATCAAAAAATATTCACCCATCGCGAAAAACTACGCGATTTTGTTTTCGATGCGAGCTTAATATTCATAAATGACCGTAGCTTGGGACAGGCTACAATTTTCCTTCAATTTCGCGGGATAACGCAAAACTGTACCGGAGTTCGAATAGTTGCTCACATGGATTCCTCTTCTTAAGAAATGAAAAATCGCGCGAATTTCATCTCAATATCGCGAGAGGTACGCGACATCTCCTCCAAATTCATCGAGTCCTCAGAGATGGGCTTGTAGCAACTTTTACTACAGCAAAAATAGGGGTTGAGTCTTATAGAAAATGGCTCAAAAATCACGATGAGCGCATCAACAAAGTCTGGAATGCGTGAAGTTAGGAAACTTCACGCAATCTTCGTAAGAATTTCACGCTTTTTATAACTTCTTGCTTCAAAAACGATACGACAGTACAGGTGAACATTTCGTTAGAGGAGGCGTCCGCGTCCCTTCCAACCTCTGTATAGTAGGATACTGCACAATATTCAACATGGCCGACGTCAATCCGCCAAAACTGGCCTAAACTCATGTGCCGGGACGAAATTCTAACCATTTGTTAACTAACCTGGCGTGTTGACATTCACGTTTTCCTCGCGTTGATAAAGATCCGTCTCGATAGCGTCGGTTATGTTGAGTATTGCAAACCATTCTAGTGGGCTAGGGTAGAATGGAACGACTCCTCTAAAGAAATGTTCACCTGTGCCGTGGTATCGTTTATGAAGCGGGAACTTAAAAAAAAGACGCAAATTCCTCACGCAAATTGTGAAGTTAGGAGTGCAAATCAGACTTTGCCGATGCGCTCATCGTGATTTTTGACCCATTTTCTATAAGAAACAACGCTTATTCTTGCTCTAGCAAAAGTTTGCAACAGGCCCATTAGGAGCTTTTCATTTCGGTATCGCGGTAAATACGCGATTTTTCAAGTGATTTTACGTGCAAATTCAGAAAGTACGCGATAATCGCGTAGATACTGCGACAAATAGCCTGTTTTGTAAGGTCATTGAAAATAACGCGGAGTTTCACTCAATATCGTGGTAAAAATGCAAATTTTTCAGCGTTTGATTATAATCTCAAAAGATCAAAAAATGTTCACTTCATCGCGGAAACTACGCGATTTTGGTGTCGATGCGAGCTTAATATTCACGAACGTCCGTAACTTGAGATAAGCTGTGAGCTATGATTTTCCTTCAATTTCGCGTGATACCACAAACCTACTCCGGAGCTCGAATAGTTGCTCACTTGGATTCCACTCATTAAAAAGTGAGATATGTATTGCGTGGGTTTCGTCTCAATTTCGCGAGAGGTACGCGATATCTCCTCCGAATGAGTCAGTTGCATTGGTCACAGAATCGTGTTATGATGCTTGATTCTTGTAGATCAGCTGAAAATAATAAGATCAGTCCAAACAGCAACTGTCTACGTTAATATTAGCCAAGATATCGCCCCTGTAAAAGTCGAGTTTTTGACGTCATCCACCACGGTAGTGACACCCTTTCTTTCTTCCACCTTGCTTCCATCAGTTGGCGTGGTGCATATTTGCACTGGTTGTACGACGTGAAACTCGGATGAAAGCAAGGTGGAAGAAACCAGGGGTGTCACTACGACGGTGGGTGACGTCATAAACCGAATTTTTCAAACCGCGATATTTCGGCTAATATTGAACGTAGAAAGTTACTGATAAGACAGATCTTATTATTTTGAGAAAGTGTATAAAAATCAAGCATCAAAACACGATTCTACGACCAACGCAACTGACCAATCCATCAAATCCTCATAAATTACAAGCATTTCATCTCGGTATCGCCAGAATGGCTGGCAAAATTTCATTTTATCATTCCCTGACTTTTCCCTGATTTCTGATGAAATTCTCTGACTTGAAAGTCATCGGAACACCACTTGAGAGCTCCACCCGGTTAGCAAGTTGGGACTTTACCGTTTTCGCTTTCGCCATTTTCGTCAATTTTGTAACTGCATTTACCTGGAAAAGTTTAGAAGTGTGTGCGAACCGTGAGAGTCAGCTGTGTTTTTTAACTGCATTTAACTGGAAACCCTTAGCTGCAGAGATTTTTATTATTAGCGGTCAAAAAGTCACCTTACCGGTGGAAAATTTTCCGGTTAGCAGTGAAAGTCATCACGTAAAGCCACCTTAGCGGTAGAGAGGTTTCTGGTTAGCGTTAAAACAGTCATCCGATAATGTCGCACCTTAGCAGTATTTAGAAGATTTTCCAGTGACGTTTCCCTGAAACGAATATCGCTTGCAAAATAAAATTCCCTGTCATGCCGACTTTTTGCAGATTCCCTGACGTTTTCCCTGATTTCCCCGACCCCAAAAAAAGTCCTCACATTCCCCGGTTTTCCCGGTCTCTAGACGCCCTTACTTTAAAATGCGGAACCTCTGCTTTGTGACATATCCGAGCGTTTTTTTTGCCTATCTCGGAAAAACTGAAGCTTAACACGTGGATTGAAAAACCTTCTACAGGGAAAGGACTATTTACACTATATTTTGTAATGAAGAACAACAATTTATGGCTCATTTTAGAAACAACGTACGTAAAGGAACGTACGCTAAGGAAGAACGGCGTATGAGCATCTGAGAGTTGCCAAATTTCCCTTGACAAAACATGTATTTTTGACGACATTCATGCACATTTTTTTTTTTTTTAAAAAATGCAGACATTGTAGATTGAATTGCGTGAAAAATTGTCTGAAAATTTTGGGGGGAAATATTCACAATTTTCCGAGTAAATTCACTTTTTATCGAAGGAAACTTGGCAACTTCTGAAGGCTCATACGGCGTTCTTCCTTAGCACAGCAGTATTAGACAAATTAGTCTAGGGAGACAATAGGTCGGTACTGCAAAATATAGTGGAAAAGACGGGAGATGAGACAGTGATCAGCTCCCGTAGGAGCATTCAAAAATTGCCATTGCGAACGGTATTTCACGTTCACGTGGCGGGGTATTGGTTAAAGTTTTCAACTAGCAATAATCGCACCTCAGATGAACTTCATTGGTTACGATATCGCCTCTGCGCAAAGCTAATGGTGAAGAGGGCATACTCGGGACCCCATTCAAATGAAACGATGAGAAAATGGTGAGGTCGAGAAATAACAGCATACATAGCGCTATCTGCGGGATCGCGGGAGAACCAGAAGGACTAGAATTGTTAATTCGACAGTCGGCCGCTAGGCTGCGGTACTATCGTCGGGAGAGGAGGCACCACTCGTCACTCGTATGCAGCCGCAGCGCAAGGTAGATTTACACAGGTATGGACAGAACTAAACAACTGGCCTCTGATTGGCTCTCCAGCGGCCCCTTAACGTCAGCCATTTTGGATGTTTTGATTATTTTGATTTATTATGTTCGGTTTATCGTTTGTCAAAAATTTGTGGGATTTTTTACACAATTTTGGTTATGCGATATTAATTTTAGCGTTTAAACGCACAAACGTTTGAATGTTAATTTGATTGTAATTTAATTAAAAAACGGGCCCCTTAACCTACGTCACGAGGTCATGTGACACGTACTGAGGCTCATGGGAAATTTTCAACTTTTCCATACCTGTGTAAATCTACCTTGGCCGCAGCGTTACCGGCTGCACTGCGTGCTACTGCTAGTTCCTTCCACAACTACTTTTTGACTCAATATCGTGAGCTCGAAAGCACCGGCACTTCCCAAAACGAAGAAACTGGGTACTTTTGCAGCACCTAAAAATTGCCTACAGGGTGTCTAGTTTTTTTCATTTTGAGATATCCTGATGAAATCCTGATTTATCCTGATTTTTGACCGCTAAATCCTGATTTTATGTTTTTCCCGAATCCTGGTCAAATCCTGGCTTTTCGCGGAGAAAAATTAACGGACGGATAGCGGATAATTGACGGGAAAAAAGCGGAAGGTCGACTTTTCTCAAATCCTGATTTAACGACCGATTTTTTTTCAAATCCTGATGATATCGGAACAGTTTTCGGAAGAAACTGGAATACTTTCGCAGTAACTTAAAATTGCTTGTACGCGGTGTCTAGTTTTTTTTTTTTTTTTTATTTTAGGAAATCCTGATTTTTGACCGCTAAATCCTAATTTCATAATTTTTCCAAATCCTGACTTTTTGCGGAGAAAAATTAACGGACGGATAGCGAATGATTAACGGGAAAAAAGTGGACGGTCGACTTTTCTCAAATCCTGATTTAACGACCAATTTTTCTTCAAATCCTGATAAAATCGGCATTAAACTCTGATAGACCTCAAATCCTGATAGAATCGGGAAGATCCTGATACTAGACACCCAGTTATACTTTCAAAACAATCATTCATTTTCGAATTTTATCAGGTTGCCAAATACAGAGATCCTCGTGACTCAAAAACTTTACACAGTCTTTAAAACTTATCCACAATCTCGCAATGTTGCAAACCCTTTCCAAAAATTCGATTGTTTTCTTGCACTAAAATGGTGCCGATGTTCCGAAAAAGTACAGCAAAGTAGTTCAAAATTAATGTGAAGATTCTAGGGCTATCCCGAAAAATACAAAACTTTATCTTCTTTTGCAAAAAAAAAAAAAAAAAAAAAAAAAAAAAAAAAAAAAAAAAAAAAAAAAAAGTCTAAGTCGATTACTTGTGAAAGAAATTAAGAGGAATGCGCATCGAAGGTTTCAAAAGGGGAAAAAAAAGTTTTTCAGGGAGAGTTTAGAGGAAAAAATTGGAATTTTAACCACGAACTCCTTGATAAAATCTATGGTATCTCGATTCATGGGTGCCATTAACATGACAAAATTAGACAGCACTTTTAAACTATGTTAGAATCGCAAAAATTCATTTACTAATCTGTTTCTTACTTCAAAAATTTACTAAAGGGGTTTTGTGTACCCTGCGAAAATTCAACTCACGTTTCAGCGTTATTTTCAAGTTCCTCAAAAATCAAGTACTTGAGTAAAATAAAATAAATTTAAAGAGCCATAACCTTGCAAACGGATCGAGTTTATGAGGAAGGAACCAACCCACATCAAGTTGAAACTGAGAAAAAGAGGTTTGAAGTTTTATTCCTCCATAAGACCTAATGTAGAAAATAAACTTTCCATCTTTTCACGAACTAATTTTTGTTTTCGACTTTGAGTTTTAGGCAGGTGAAAATATTAATTAATAAGTAAACTTCTGTTTAATTACTTATCCAAAAGCCCCGCACTACCCCTTTAACCCATAGGGTTCCTGTCCCTTTTCAGAGAAGTCCATTTAAAATAGGGGTTCTCAAAAGTAGTTTCCTTTGACCTAGGAGCACTCACAAACTTCTAAATTTGTCCTAATTTGTTCATAAGGTACAGACGTGATGCCAGTCACTGGTGATACAGGATTCTTGGATCACCCTGTAGAGAGATGAAATGTGTATACAACCGAGAAAGTGATGATGTAACGAAAAACTAAGACCAAGCCACGCTTCTCTTTTTATTTTTAACTACATGATAGGTATAATTCATCAGTTAATGTTGAAACATTAAAAAATTATATTAATTGATAAGCCTCCAGGCCCATTAAAATGGTTATATCCAAGAGCTTATCAGATGATCAACATAATTTATTTTAATACTGACAAATGCGGCTGTGCCTACAAAAAATATTCTTTTTTCAATCAGAGAAAACTCCAACATACTTCATGCAGGATTGAAAAAAAATTCAAAAAAATTCAAAATTCAAGCGTATTCAAGTATATTTAACAACTATTTTTGCAAATCTTTAAGTATTATTATAAAGTGTGCATGCTGTGGAATTGATCACTGAAAATGAAATATTTTTGAGTAAATGCTTTTATGATTGGGGCTTTTCATTCACAGATTCAAAATTGATAACGTGAGATATGATTGACGCTGCGCAGCCTTTGACAAGATGTACAACAAAAAAAAAAAGAAATGTAAAAAGCAGGTAACAAGGCTAAAATTTCATGAATAAAACCAAAACGTTTCGGCTGAAAACTCAGCCTTCCTCAGTTGGATAAAATAGTAAAAAGAAAAATGGTAAAAAATCTAAAATAGTACCTGGCTGTACCTTTCAAAGCAAGAATGTTGTTAACCAACGTTTTGGTTTTATTTGTGAAATTTCAGCCTTGTTACCCGCTTTTTAAAATGTTTTTTTTAAATTTATTTATTGAAAATTAATGACATCATTGCATGAGCACCAACAAAAAAAAAGCAGCAAAGCATCTCTTGGTGTTGGCTGATAAGATTCAGCCTGAGTCAACATTTGATCTGCATACTGCATACCACGCCATTACTGAAGACTGTGCAATACTTCAAGCTCACTGCTTTTTCACAAGTTTGATTTTTCAACAAGTTTCTGGAATAAAATGGGTTCTTCTTTCGAAAATTATAAGTATGGTTGAGTATGTTTTGTCAATTTTACAGACTTTAAGTATTTTCAAGTCGGTGCAAGGGGTGGGAGGGCTAGAAAAAATATATAATACATTGAAAAATTGTGCATAAAAGGCTGTATGAACCATAAAAAAAATTGGACGGATAAAATGGAAAAGACTAGTAAGAAGGCTGATCAAGTTCGCTTACCTGCTAATCTGTTTATGTTGAAACTAAGGCGCTGCTTTTCTTGGAAAGTCATTGGTTGAGCATTATCTGTTTCTTGGTTTTCTGCCCCTTCTCGCTCCTGCATTGTGTTTATCTGAAATGATTAGAGATACACATTTAATAGTGCTTACTTTGTTTTAAGGCGGGGTGTGATAATATGAAATGGTGCAAGTCAACAACACATCTCTTGATCTGCCATACTGCAGATTCTTTATTACATTTTATTTTTTGGAAGAACGACTAATGGAAATCAGTTTTTCGAGCATGGAATGATTTGTTTTTCCCTCTACAGTAAAATGTTGACTGAAGTTGAGTGTACCTTCAAAAGTGACTTGGTAAATCTGGCCTCGCATGTTACTTTTTGAAAAAGAAAATAGGTCTTCAGTTCTTTTTGTTTTTTGTTTAAAACTTGTGTAAATTTTTTCTTCTGCTAATATTCATAGACAATTCCTAGGAGATAATCTGCTTAATTTTCTTTCCGTTCTTGGAAAAAATAAAAACGGAAAGTTTGAAATGTAGCCAACGAGCATTAAAAACCTAGAAAACTGGAAATCTAACTACAGGGGGAAAAAACTCATTCAAGCACTATTTTTCCTCATTTATTGAGATTTCCAGTTTTCTGGGTTTTCCACACACATTGCTACATTTCCAACTTACTGTCTTCACGACTCGTGCGTCCACCACAATCAGTTTGTGAAAAAACACATATTACTGGAAATTTTTAGACATTGCAATGGAAGCACACATTTTTCAACTTGAGTCAATATTATTCCGTAAAATTCAAAACAATATTCTTTACTCGTCTTACGTTTTAAAAAATACAAAAATAGCAGGGATTCTTGAATATCGCAACTGAGTTGTGTATTTTGTAACCATCACAATCAACAAAGGTGACAAAAGTAGGTATTTCCCCCGAAGGTAATTCCAGGTTGCAAAAAGTCAAGAATTTCACACGGTGGAGCTTTCATTATATCAAAGCTCTTAAGAGGGAACTAGGCAACTTCTGGTGCAATTCGGCTGATTCCAGTCGAATCCGACTATAACCGATAAAACTGGCAACACAGTCAACACAGTCAACGATACAACACGATGACGTTCTGGATGACAGACCGAGAACCACCCACCCTCGAGGGCAGAAAACGTACCTCCGGAGGGGCCGTGACGGTTGAAGTCCGCGACGAATAGGGTCCAAAACTCGTACAAAAATCGAATTTCCAAGGCGCTCGTCCAGCGAGAAAGCCCAACGAACGAAGCGCAAATCGACACTGGATTCGCCGGCCAACGGCGTGTACATACGATTGATTGCAAATGACACGCGCTTCGCGGACGGTGACCTTGCGAACAGCGCCGCTTGCGTCATCGACCGCTCGCGATCGGTCGATCCAGCGCGAGACGGATGCGCGCCCCGGCGACGGTCGCGATATATCGATTCATCGCCGGAACTCCCCCACCTCCGACCGGATGATCATTCCGGCGACTGACTCACGCGGTGATGATAAGAGATAGGGAATGGGAATGTGGGCGCCGCCGCTGCGAGCCGAGATAGCTCCTCTCTCGCTCATGATGGGGGAAAAACTCGTCGGGTTCTAGACTTTCGATTTGTCACTGCTTCGGGTTTCAAGTTGGGTAATTTTCGAGAATTCGAGACTGTGCCCTGAATTGACTGCTCTGGACTCACCAAAAAACAAATTCTGTCTACTTTATCAATTCCTAAGTCGAAAAGAAGAGGATGTCAGCTTGTGGTGTTGCTTATCTTCGCTTGTCTTTGATCCCCCCCCCCCTGAAAAAAGCCAACTGACAGTACCTCTTTCCCTAGCCTTTCCAAACCCTCAAATCCATTAAAATTAAAAATTTAACAAATTTACTCACTTGCGACAAAATTCTAGAATTTCTTAGAGTTTCGTTGCAAGTAAGTTGATTTTTAATTTTCTAATTACATGACTTGTGCAGAAAAACTCTTTCATTTTACACCTCAAATTCATTATTGGGATTACTTTTACAGAGTATAGTTCACTAGAAATTGATTTTTATGATACTTACAGTGTCTAACATAAAAAGAAAAGGAAAAAATGGGGGGACAAAGAGCTTTTTCAAGGATTCAAATTCTAAATTTTATTTAGAGGTCAACTAAAAATTAATTTTGAATGTTAAATTACAATAGGCTGTTCCTGGATTTTCTGAAAACTAAGATTGTTAGAGTTCTTTTCGTTCGAAGAGATTTCAATACCTACATCATTAAGGCTACCAAGCTTTTAAGAAAAAGATAAATGCTTGGAGACTTAAAAAAAACATTGAACTTTCTTGGAGAAGTTTGATTGAGTGGGTGGAAAAATAAACAGTTCCTGGTAGCAGTAAAAGTAGGTAAAAAATGATAGGGTATATAGTCTGACTAATGCTGTATTGAGAAAAGAGATATTCATCACCTGTCAAAAGTAACAGATCAGCCCAATTAATCAACGACTGAGTAATCAAGTTAATGAGGACACTTAGAACCTTGACGAGATGAAGACTGATAGAGTCACTTTGAATGTCTTTTTATTTTTAAACATTCGCTTTGAAAATTTTCCATTCATATTCAGACACATGTGAACGAAAGATGTGTATCTAAATTGCCAGTTTTGCAAAAAAGAAGCAAAAAGTAGTTGACACTCATAACAGATCTTGTATAAAGACGTGTACCAAATTGGGAGACCAGGGCTCAGTCTACATCTGAGGTCAGGGAAACTAGGAACAAACTCAAAAACTACTCAAGACTCCACTATAAGTCAAATTCAATTGAGGCATCTAGAACCAAAACCAGCAATCTCCATTGCCCTGTCTAGAAATTGAGCAATCATATTAATTTTCTACGAGAGGCAACCAAAACTTCCAGCTGTTTTTAACATTTATCCAAAATTCCTCGCGTAATAACAGAAAATTCACAAGAAAACATGAATATGGAGGCTTTCTTGTTCTTTCAATATTAAAATTATAATGATTTCACAATTTTTAGACAGGGCAATGGAGATTGTCGCTTTTAGTTCTAGGCGCCTCAATCAACTTATCATAGGTATTACAGCGATAGCTTTAAGCTATCCGCAGTTCTAAAGGGATGGCCGCAAGCACTTAATTGGTTTGGCATCAATGTTTGTGGTATTTCCGTAATGGCATAATAGACCATATTCTAGGCAATATTCATACAAGAAGTGTGAACAACCTAAAAGTTACATTGTGTGCTTTTCAGAACTGCTAGGGTTTTATGCCAGTTTGAACTCAACTTCTCTTCTTGCCTTCTGTGACTCGAATTTTTAAGCTTTTCCCTCTCTTTGTGCCGATGAGTGGCTTCCAGATGTGTTATAGCAAACTACAAAGATACATTTTCTATCTATTTTTACTTTTTATTTTCTTTCTATATTTTATGTATGAGCGAGCTAAACTTGAGCAGTGCATCAGAAGGAATAGGGCACAAATAATTTTACGTCCTTGTAGAAAAGCTGATGTACTTACAGTTTTCGATCATCTCGAGCTTCAAAAAAATTTGCAGCAGGAGAAATGGAAACAACTGCTTCAGTAATTTTCTTTGTTTGTTGATCTGAGGAAATCTCTTCTGAATTCTTCCCCAAGGTATGAAAAATCATCTTCCCTGAGCAAGCCTCGCGGTAAGTACCCTATTAAATTTGCCGCATGTTCTTGCAGCAATCTGCGCCTTTCTTCTTCTATTAGTCTGCACCTGAAAACACGAATTTCAAAAATAACAAAATTAACTCTTATTTCACCTACAGGTTTGATTTAACTCAGGAGCTGGATTGGCTTAAAACTAGTGTTCTGACTTCATAGAGCACCATATCAATGGCCAAAGTTCGAAACCTTGTATCTCCATTGGCGGCGTTGCGGACTCCATGGTTTACTTAACTTTTTTTTTTTTGAACACTAGTCAACGTACGTAATTTCTTAATTACTTCCTTAATTTTTCACCTCTGTCAGCAGAATATTTGGTTTATTAAAGATATGAGGTTGGCTTGTTTCTTTTTGAAAAAAATAAATTTTCTTTGAGGTAACTTTTCTGGAATTTTTGGTGTAGAAAATTATAAAATAATAGAGAATATTCAGTGTAAGTTTTAAGAAAATACAGGCAATTGCTTTCCTTACAATGAGGAAAAACTTGATCAGCCAAAAACACACAATAAAATAACAACTTAATCTAGGGAACGGCTGCTGTAAAATACGAAAGGTGAAGACAAAAAAATAAAATAAAAAACCAGGCGGCTTTGAAATATCGACGGTGTAAGTTGGCAATCACATGACTCAGTTTGCGATGTCACAGACTTCCTGTCACAGTTTATTTTGTAAACGGAAAACTACTCGATGACAGTTCTTTGAAACTGCTGTGCTTTTTCTTCTCTGAGCAAAGAAAATTCTGCAAAAACTTCAAAATTGATGTCAATTTGTTCTCCTTGAAAAAAATAATATAGAGGCGGAGATTTTCAGACACCGCAAATGAGATATGCGATTGCGGACTTACACTGTCGATATGTGACGATTTCATTTTAACCCAGAAAATACAAGAGACAGAAATATCAATCCGTTGTTAATGCAGGATTAAGACTAATTATGAAGTAAACAGAACCCTCCCAATGCAGCAAAAATCAAGGCAAAATCATGTAAGTGACAAAGACGATCTTTTGCCAATATGATGGATGAAATTTTGACAAAAATTTTGCAACATTGCAATCAAGAAGTGCCCTTTCTATACCCAGCTCTTCAATTCTGGGATGAAATCAGAAGACTGCTGTGAATATTTTCCCTACGATAGAAATCAAATGAGCATTAAGCATGGATGCTAGGATTGTATGAGGTTTTTTGAGACATAAAGCTGAACTAACCTTAAAATTAAACTAGGAAGGGGAGACCATTACATTTCTAAGATTTTAAGATTTCAGTGAAAAGTTTGGACAAGAATCTATTAAGCTTGATGCAACTCCAATGTAAGTCAAAAGCATACATTTTGAGCGATAAGAGAGTGAGAGTCTGTAACACTTTCTGCTTTCATGACTGCCTATCTACAACAAACTCTGGACGTAAAAGATCACTTTACCTTTCTTGTTCCTTTTCAAGTTGGAGCTGCTCAAACCAGGCCATTTGCTTTCGCTCCTCTTCCCGTTTCTGTTTCTTGGCCTCGATCAGTTCCTGAATGATACGACGGTGAGCTATTTGTTTCTGTCTGCGCTTTTCATTAGACATTTGCTCTAGCTTGTCTTCTTCCGCCATTTTATCCATCATCTGAAAAGGGAAAAGTTGCACAAATTTTATTCAATGAAATTTTTCAGTCTTGCAGTAATAAGATACACAGTTTTGCGGAGCTTGTGTCCTTTAAATTGTGATGTGATTCTGTCCAAACTGACGATCATCTACATCTTGATGAATCATGTTTATCCTCCATTTGATATTCCTTATTTGTGTTCACAGGCGTCAAAATTCTATGAACATTTCAAATTTCAGATGGATCAGAGTGACCTATAGTCAGAGTTGCCACAGAATTTAAATAATTAAAGTCACTGACAAAGTTGGATCAAGTTTTCTGACATTTAACGATATGCCGGATAGTTAAAAATCAACAACTCTACACCCAAAAATGCAATATTTGCCATTAGAAACAGTAAAAAAATTTGAGAGAACGAAAAATGTAATTTAGCGATTTTTTTCAAGACACTTTTCCCTCACATTTCCTGATTTTCACTTTTAAATTTCCCTGACCTTTTCCAGTTCTTCCTCAGTGTGGCAACCCAATAAAATGTATTTATAAGTCGTTTCACTTAGTAGTTTTTGTTCTTGGTCTTATTCAAACTAGTTTCAAAGACTTACTAACGTAGAAAGTTAGGAGTTACTTGTCTCAATAGAATACTAAATATTTAATTTTAAAGTCAAAATACCAAAAAACACTGATATCATGTACTTCTGCTTGAATTTTTCAGTGCTTTCACTAGGGCATTCACGGTCTGATTGTGCTCCATACTAAAGAATTGCAGTACATGTGCTTAGGATAAATTATCATTAAATAAAATGAAACCGAAAAATGCAAGGTAATGGAGTGAGTTTTTACACAATGACATATGATTGAATGCATTTATTACGAATCAGCCATACTGCATTTAACATTGCCTAATTTTCCCTCATGTTTCACATTCTTGACAGAAAACAAATACTCAATGCCTTTGAATTCCCAGTGAATTTACCTTCGGCTACGAAGAACACCTATAATCACAAAATTACCAATTTCACTGATGCTTAGTTTCCTGTTCAAAAAATTAAAGATGGAAGGAAATTAGATTACTGGTGTAATTAGGCTGATCCCAGAATGTGTCAAATTACCCAACTAATTAATTCATTCTAACTATCTGCATTTGATATGTTTAAACTTGACGTATGCTGGCTTTGGCTTTGTTAGTCCCAACGAAAATGAAATTCACAGCTTCATTATGAACACACAGAATTCTGTGTTACATAATGCATTATGAAATAGTTTTGAGCATTTTCCAATGCATCTACTGCATCCTGTAAACAGTGTGGATTTGGAAACATGTGTTGCTGCATGCTCATTTACACCAGGTCTTGTGATCTACTAAAGATATGCTCTTGAGTTGAATAGGAAATGTTCAATGATGTCCAGTGCATCTCACCTGTTGGGCAAAGAGAGCGTCTTTTTCTCTCTCCTCTTTTCTTTTCTGCTCTTCCTCTTGCCGCTGTTTTTCCAATGATTTGACGAAATCCATTCTCTGCCGCATCTTATTTTCTATCTCCATTCGATGCCTCTCTTCCAGTGCTTGTCGTTTTTCTTCTTGAATCAACTCAGCAATAATTTCTGCTCTTTCATCGTCATCAGTCTGAAATTTTCAATGAAGGTTTTGGTTAGGAGGCATGGAAAAATTATCTTTGATCAAATTAAAAGAAAAAAAAACTTTTGATGCTTGATTTGGGCTGATGTTGATATTAAATGAATCAGTGAGAGAGAAAACACACCAACTCGAAAAAATGAAAATAATAAAGACACACACAAAACTGCACAGTAGGTGAAGAAGTTAGTTTAAGAAAAAGATTTTTGCTGCCAAAAGACAAGTACTTATGGACACTTTAAAGGTTCAAGTTGGAACAGATGCGCTAACTTCAATGACCTTAAGTAAATTAACTGTCTTCAAGGAAAATTGAGCATTTTCGAGTTACCGAGTTGGTGTTTTTCGTTCTCACCTATTCAAATCACTTCAGAGTCATTCTACGGGTAAAGAACATAACCATTTCACACTACATTGTTCAAAATGAGGTAGAAAATTCACTTTGTGAGAAAATTGAAAATATGTGAAATGTTAACTGAGAATAAAAACTCATGATGGAAAATGTAAACAATTGATCTTGGTTATAAAGAAAATTAGAAAGAAATTGACGCGACGTAGAAAACATCAAAATGGCCTCAGCTTGGGATTTTGCTCAGTTTATGTAGTTTAAATAAAAAACTAACCATGAATAGTAAACATTTTTGAGATTTTCAGTATGTAAATGTCCAAAGATACAAATATCAAGAACACATTTTGGTAAGTTGGAATTTACAACCAGTATTATTTGTCTTACGACCCGTGAGTCTACCGCAATCACTTGGAATAAATTTTACTTGGAATTGGAAATATTTGCAAACGTAGGGTGACATTGAATTAACATGGATTTGTAATCAACGATATGAAGATAAAAAAACTGTGCAAGTTTTAATAATTTGAAAAATGTTTTGATAAAAAGAATATTATGGACATGCTTCTATACAATTGATTGGATGCTTCATTAATTGAGAAATTTTCTCTCGAAGAATGAGGCGTTTTTCACAGAAAGGATATTATTTGAACTAAGGTCCATTTGATGAACTATATTTTCAAAAAATCAGTCTCAAAACTGTAAAAAGGACAGCTTTTGCTGATTTTTTCACACAGAGTCTACAGAAATATACGATTGAATAGACACTGAGGAAACTTTTTAAATACTAAAAAAGGATCCTACAAAAGCTTCACTGACAAAAGAAGCCAAAATAAAATGATTAAAATGCAATTTTCTCTTCAGAGGATTTCTGTGAGAACGGCGGTCCAAGGATTTTTCATTTTAAGAGAAATTAATCTTTTAGATGTGATCTGAAACACAGCAGAATCTCTATAAATGCTGCTAGTGAAGATGACTTTACTTTTACTGCACTTTCGAAATTTTTTTGATGGGAGATGCATGATATCTATAATTTATCTAGTTTTAATAACAAGAAAGCCTTTCAGCCTGCAAAGAGAACCAAGTCAAATTCAACACATATTTTTGCAATGAAAAAGGATGTAAATTTGAACTTAAATTCAACAATTCAAAAGCTCTGAATGTTTTGAAATAAAAACTCAAATTGCTTTTTTTTGAAGCTATGCTCTTCAAATTGCAAACTACAAACTTCAAATTACCAAAATTCTGATTTGATCAGGCACCTTTGGGTGAATTCCATGTGAAAATTTTCGATAAACATTCCTCTATTGTACCGACACCGGTACCAGTAATTGAATTTTGAGTTCTCCAATTTTGAGGGTCTTTTTCTCTAAAGAAAGTCGCATTTCTATTGATTATCTCTCGATTAGAAAATTTCTGATAGACTTTTTTCAACGGACCTAACGAAGAACAACATACCTTCGTTTCTTTAATTTTTTGAGCAGCTAAGTCTTGAATTTTGGCCTGCTTTTCAACTTTTTCCTGTATGGCTCTCTTTCTTTTCTCCTCTAAATTTTGTTCTTCCGCCAGGTACTTGCGAATGCGCCTGAAATCAGAATAAAGTTAAGAAATAAGTTTTAAAAGAATGCCCTTATCTTTTCCCAAGACCAACTTTTTCTATTGAGTAAGTGATTTCTAATGTTTCCTTTTTGTAACCCATAACATGAAAAATGAAGCTAGGGCAAAAATCGGATTGTTTAATGTACACCTCAGCATGTTCTATGTTTACCTTTAACAACCGCTAGATTTTGAGGCACATTCAAAGCGAAATGAAATAAAAAAGGAAAACACGTAATTGGGTCACATCTCTGAGATACATGATTTTCAGACTGCTATTCACGTCAGACGAGTGCTTCAAGTACAATGAGGGCACTGTACTTGTTAATTTAAAAGCCCCTGCAAGGGAGTAAATCACACAAACTCAAGTATTTTCTAAAATCTGCACATGTTATGATCAGACGTGCTGGATTATGCATCGTTTCGAGCATTCCTGTCTCTTCACCCTATAAACGATAAAAATTCATGACTTGCACCTTCATACAAACTATTTTTAGTCTCCAGGAGAAACATATAATTGATCAAAATAATTGAACACTCGTGCAAGTAAAATTTATTTCCTGAAATCCTTATAGCATTTCAATTTCATTTACCGAACGGAAAGACTGACTGCTTGCTTCATAATATTTTAAATAGAAGATTAAAGGCATACTCAGAAAAATTAAGTAGTCAATAGCCTTCTGATGTATTTGTAAAAACAAAATTAAAAGCCTTAGTGCTGACCTGTCTTCTTCTTCTTGTGCTTCTTTTTCACGAAGTTTCCATAATTCTCGCGCTTTCAGGAAACGTTCAATTGATTCCTTTGTCAGTTGCTTCAATCTAAGCTTAGCTTCTTGAGCTCTGAAAAAAATTAAAATTACAAAATTGAAAAATATTAGCAGATTTGCTAAGTTTGGATAAAGATTGGGTGTAAATTCATTACTGTACCGTTTCTGTATAAAGGTCATTTTTATACTTTCGAGGGAGCCATTACAAATTTTTTCTCTAAAAAAGTCTTCAGACTTCGAACTGTGTACTTATAGTGACTCTATGACAATATCTATTTTTCAAATTCAGAAACTGGGGGCTAATGGAAGCGCTTCCTACATTAATGATGTATTAGGATGATTTATTTAATTTTCTTTGAAGATGCCCAACAGCTGAATGATATTACCTATTTATTCTTAAAGAGAGAGGTAAAGTACAATCAAGGTAACAATCACTTAGTCACAAATTTATCTGTTAATAACTTACGTTTTATGTCTACTTATTTTTACACGTTTTAGCTGATTGTTTTTTTCACAATGTTTCTGTCTTTTGGCACTAAAATAAAATCTATGTTCATGGTTGGAAGGATTACAGAAGTTTATTGTTGTAAATCAATTGCTTAAAATTAAGGTGATCTGGTAATTGAGGTGCTGGGTGCAAGATGGGCACATTTAGATTAAGGTGTTTCAGAATCTTCGTTGATAATTTATGTCTTAGAGAAGAAGCTGTTGAATAATTTATCAAAAAATGTTTTGATAGAACATTGGAAAATCATGAAGAATATTAATTGAAAATTTCATTGAATTGCAAGGGCGCATGCATCACTTCCCTTACAGTAAATGGAATTTTAGAGTAGATTCTGGAACAACACAACTGAGAAGTGCCTTTTCAGCCCGCGGCCCCTCAATTGATGGATACATTATTAGTAAATCAGCATTTAGTTTGCAAATATTTTACCTCTGTCTTTCTTAAGACTATCTAAAATAACCCCTTTTCGCACACTTGATCATCCACAAAATTTTTATTCACTAACACATGAGAGCAAAACATGCATTAAAATATAGTTACCGCAACTCTTCTTCTCTGAGAGCCCGAGCTATGTCATCAATAATTTGTTTCTCCCGTAAAAATTGTCTGAAAGCATCTTCCCTTCGCACAGCGTTCAAGTAAATTTGGTTTTCTAAGCACTTCCTGTAAATCTCTTTCTTCTTGGCTGCTTCACGAGCTTTCTCCTCTTCCATCAGCTCTCCACTTTTGATAATCGCAGCAGTTACTTTATGTGACAACTCTTCCTGCAACTACAGAGAGAAAATGTTTTATGGTGATTTGCATTTTTATTTTAGAAATTAAACGAAAAACGCCTATCAATGGCAGCAAACTTCCTGAGTGCTCATCATTTCTGCAGACTTACAGACTGCGTCCATCACAGTTATGTAGTTAGGAGAGATGAATCTGACACTACTTAAAATGAAATGACTAGGTTCTCTAATATTTAAGAAACACCTGATTCAAGTAAAAATTTGCTTTGTGTTCTTGCTGCTAACAATTTTTGACGGAGTTGAATAAAATATAATAAAAGTTGTGCCTTGGAAACGTATGACAGAGATACAGACACTATCTACTCATACACCTGACCAATCAGCTGCAAACATAGAAACGCCACAAAAATGGATTTTGAGAGTGTGAATGACCTTTCGTCTCAGCAAGAGAATCGGCTTTTCTTACAAAATTGCATCCATTTGTAATAAAGAGAGAAAGAAAAAGCAAGCATCACTTTTTGAAAAGAGCATGTTTTTAAAATAGTAAGACTGGGAACTTCCTCCATTCCTACGGTAAGAGAAAATCATGGGGGGCCGAGGCACACCCTGCCACATTAACCAATAATTTACAATATGTAGTGAATAAAAAACAGTGTAAATTAATTTTCTGGCATAAAGAATTCTCACTAACAATAGGTTCTGACACAAATAGGTGCTTAAATTGTACCAATGAGACTGAAGCTAGAAAGACCTTCAGTTAAAAATCACAGGCACTCGGCATCAACCAATTTCAGAGGCAAAGAAGCTAAACCTTTGATTCCGAGGATTTTTTTTCAAAATTCAAAATACAGATGATGATGGACATACCTAAAAGTCATGACTTGAACTAACTATTCACTAAACTAAATCAGCAAGAGAGATAAAAATGTATCACCTTCTCTTGTAACTTGTTAAGTTTCCGCTCCTCGATTTGAGCCTCGAGTTCTTTGTACATATATGCCGTTCTCAGTTTTTGCTCAAGCTCTTGAAGTTCTTTTGACGTAACTTGCAACTGCTGCCTATAAAGAGAAGGAAAAGGAGATGCAAAACTGAATACAAAGGATGAAAAGTTAGATTTGACGAATAGTAAAGACTTCTTCGGTGAACAACAATATGAGAAACATACCGTACACGTTTTGTACACTGAAGTAGGCAGAAGAGAATGGACTGCAATGTCTGTCAATTTTAACACCTTTACTATAATTTAGTTTGAGCAGTGTGTTTCAGAACTAATGCCAGATTTTGAAATATTGTCACATTGCTGTCCTTGAACAACTGTGAGCTCCACTATCATCTTCACATGAAAAGCACAATTCACTATTTTCTTTGCAGAAGAGAGCACTTAGTAGTTTTCCTCTGAAAAAAGAACACATCGTCACCTTCCAGGCAAAGTATCACAAGCGCTGTGCGACGTTTAAAAATTTCCGCAGCCATTTTATTTTTTTACTGAGAAATTGTTGGTTGGATCTGTTTGGAAATTTCACTAAATTTTATCGGCAGCACAAAGAAAATTCAGTGAAATTTTCGGACAGCTTCGTTGAACAATTTCTCTGTAAAAAAATAAAATGGCGGCGGAAATTTTTAAACGTTGCATGGCGCTTGTGATACTTTGCCTGGAAGGTGACGACATGTTATGGTGCGTTCTGCCTGCACTTATTTCCCCATTCAACTACCTTCGCATTTTTCCTTCTATCGATCAAATGAGCGCTTTCTGCACCCCTGGACGATGAGTCCCTTTCTGCTTCCCTGGCCAATCAGCACCAGGCTTCAACTAGTATGTCCTGTGGATACAATAGAAAAGCAATTTTTACAAAAACCAGACAAATGACAGGGAGAAAAGCTGGTTTCAACGCACTGCTCCTCCTAATGTAATACCTTTAACTTCAAGTCATTCAATTATGAGGATACTTGCAACTTGTTATTACCTTTGCTTCAATTGCCGAAATTCATCCTCTGAAAGTTTCCCGATTTTTCTCTCCACTGAGTCGTCCTTGCTGGGCAGCATTTTTCTCGAAATGATTCACCTCTCCAAGCTCCTGAAAGAGATTAATAAATAATGAGAAACAAATGATCACAGCACTGAGAAAAAAAATGGACATTTTTGGCACATTACTCGAATTATGTTACTTCACTTTCTTGACTGGTAAGCAACCCATCTCGGGGCAAATGGGCCAGTTGCACTGATAACAGAATCGTGTTTTGATGCTTAATTCTTGTGGATTAGCTAAAAACAAGATCTGTCCAAACAGCAACTTTCTACGTTGAATATTAACCGAGATAATGTCCTTTGAAAAGTTGGGTTTTTCACGTCATCCATCGTGGCAGTGCATAACATGGTATGTACTATAACGGTGGATGACGTCAAAGGTTGAGTTTTTCAAGGCACAAAATCTTTATTAATATTCAACGTAGAAAGTTGCTGTTTGGACAGATCTAATTATTGTCGGTTGATCTGCAAGAATAAAGCATCAAAATACAATTCTGTGACAAGCGCAACTGGCCCATTCAGGCCATTTCGAAATCATTTACTAAAATTTCTGATTAAAATTTTAACCAACTTTTTCTTGCTATTTCTTTATCAAATTGTCATCACTTAAGTTTGCGTCAAAGATGAGTAGTAAGTATTAATTTCCCCGTATCCTCGCATTTTAATGGAAATTTTGCTTTGAGGGATTTGACACAATCTCATAAGTAGGTAGCAATTCTCATAGCACTGCCTTTTTAGCTGTTGAAGCATGTCTTTCAGGGTGCCACCAGCGAGGTCAAGCACCCAACAGAAGTGTGGCCATAAAATCATTCAGCATATTAATCAGGAGCCAACTAGAGCCAACGAGAGAGCAAGTTTTGGAGGTGGGCAAAGGGGCCTTGAAGATAAAAGCTTCTACCTGACATCGAAGGCTCATGAACGGTCTATTTGTGTTTGCCTTCGATACGTATGCATTTCCAAATAATCTCTGTGTAGGTTTAGTAGTGCGTGTTACCGAGAGTTTAAAGAGGCATCACATTTAGGCATCCATCCAACTTAGCATGTATTTATTATTTTTTGGTACCTAAGTGCCAGTTTGAGGCAGTAGAATTTAGGTTGAATCTATGTTGGAGGCTAGGATGATTACTAGACAGGAAAAGAGTCAGGTGAGAAAGTAGAGTTAGGTGCGAATCATGGAATTTAGATAGCGCACTGAAATCCTTGAGTAAGTAAAATCCTCTTGAGAAGTTCCTATCCCAACAAACAACTGGTATCATACATGCTCTGACTGTAACCTTTGCTAAAACATACCCATGTGATCGTACTGATTCCTTTGGAGTAATAATTCTGACAGAAAGCTCACCAACAGAGCTTCACTCAAATAATAATGACATGATTTTCAGACATACTGAGATCAAAAGGTTCAAATGTTAACTTACGTAATAGAATGCTGAAAAATATTTTTTGACACGCACCTAACTTCGTGATCAAAATTGAGTTGGACGCTTAGGAATTTCTATGTTTACGATACTGATGTGATTACTGATGTGACGATAAATCCGGTGTTGTGTAAATCTTGTATTGCAACTTATAGCACAGAAAAGGATAATTTACTGTAACTGGAGCAGAGACTACAGTCTCACCGTTCACTACTGTAAAATAAGAAGAATCTCTGTAACATGTGGTGACATGTGGCTTGAGATAATCCCGAGTGCCTTCCTGATTGACACGAACGACTGAGATAAAAAAGAATTACGAGTTTAAAAGTGATAATCAACCCTCGTGTGTAGAACGAAGACCGATAAACTTCCTCAAAACATGTAGAGAAACACGGAGAGAAATAATCTGTTATCACCGGAAAGGAAGATAAGTTGATAAGTTAGGTTAGAAACAAAACAAACTCACCCTCACACACAACAACACAACACCCACGCAGTAAGCGCTGCGCGCGCTGTGGCGCTGTCTCATCGAACATCACGGCGCACGGCGCCAGGATGCGACTATTCGTGTCCGATGGATGACCACGTTGCATATGTAAAAAATTGAAGGCGCACTGGCTTAGCTTTTTCACTGATTTATAGCAGGGAATTAGGGGTTTAGCAGGTTTAGAGTATTAGCACTCGGCGTAAAACTGATTAAATAAATGCCGGATCCACCCGAGAGTTTACTGTGAGAGAGATGTACAGTTTTGTTCACATTCAGGCAGTAACAACGTTAACGTCAGGTGGTTGATTTCGTGCAGTTCACATAACAGCGCCCGGCGTTTGGATACAACTAATCGTGCTTGAAGGATGTCTGCGTTGCATTTGTGAAAAATTGAAGGCGCACTGACTTGCCGTTTTCTGAGCAGTTACGCGACTGAAAAGGCGCTCTCGCACTATTCCTATCCACCTAGTATAGTAACAGTAAATCGTCGTTAAACATGTCGTCCATCCAAGCCATCCAAGTTTGTGGAACCCTTGATAACTTGGAACGAGTGTTACCCCACCTGTTTATGCCGATAAATTGACATCCTGATCTCGTACCAACTCGTTGTCAACTCAATAATATATTGACTTACGTTGTTTGAGATTTAGTAGTTAGTCATCTTGGGAACAAGAATTGGCCGTATTTAGTTTTTTTATAGCGATCAGCTAAAAATGAGCGCTTCTTCCAAAACGATTTGATTCACAATTCTACTGTGATTAAGAAAAACACCGTAAGAGCCCTCAGACAATGCCTACTTTCTCCGCTGGAAAACTTGTGAATGTTTTTCTTGCTATTTTACAAATAAGTTTACTAGCATCTCAACCTGAAGTGTCCAAAAATCTAATGAGGCATGGTGAAAAAGATTATGTGATATCGGATGGAGGCATTAGTTTCCGTTTATAAATGAACTAGGGGGCCCTGCCCCCTGACCGCTACGCTATCAAGCACCTGGCGTAGATCTTCCATCGCATTAGTAAGGCGCAATGATACAACTATTCTAACTCTTCGGAATGCACAAGGTAACACGCCGCAATTGAAGGAGTTTCCGAAACTGCCAACTTTCCATATCGGGATACTCGTGTGACGTGTCGCATAAAATTCGAACATGAGATATATGGAATGACTGATCTTACGAGCACTTAAACTATGCTTTCAAAACTGCAATAACGGAAAAGGTAAACCGACTGGACCAGCGTTGAGGCTACTTCAATATTCATTCAATATGATCTTCCATCGCATTTGTAAGGCGCAGAGATACAACTATTCAAACTCTTCGGAATGCCTAAGGTATCACGCCGCAATTGAAGGAGTTTCCGAAACTGTCAACTTTCCATATCGGGATACTCGTGTGACGTGTCGCATAAAATTCGAACATGAGATAAATGGAATGACTGATGTTACGAGCACCTAAACTATGCTTTCATAACTGCAAGAACGAAAAAGGTAAATCGACTAGACCAGCGTTGAGGCCACTTCTATATTCAATTCAATCTTATTAGTCCAGGCGCCTGGTAGCTAAAAATGAGGCTACCTGGAATTTCGGGTACACCGCGATTTTATTGGCTTACTACATGTTTTTTGGGTCGCTGAATCCGAATCTGAAGTTTCCAACCGCGTATCTGGTGAGGATTTTCCGCCATTTTGAAGAAATGGCCTAAGAAGGCCTTTTGTTGCGTTTTTTTTTTTTTTTTATATAGCGGCTACGCATGCGAGAAAGAGTCTTGGATTCAGATAATGTTTTGAATAGCTGACATAATTTGGAAGAAAATGGTGCACATATATGCAAGGTTTGCTGAAAAATAGAGGATGATACAGCATCGTGAACATCGCGCCCATTCACGTTTTCGCGGCGCACCTGTCAACGCATGATCCGGCTCGCCGCGGTCAGCCAAGTTCCGAAGCCTTCCAAAGTTCCGAGATCCGACGTTCCTCAATTTTTGAGCAAACCTATAGCATATTCATATACCGTTTTCTTCCAAATTATGTCAGCTGTTCAAAACATTAATTAAATCCGGGACTTTTTCTCATGCGTAGCCGCTATATTAAAAAAACCGCAAAAAAAGGCCTTTTTTGGCCATTTTTTCATACAGGCGGAACAAATTCTCACCAGATTAGCGGTAGGAAACTTCAGATTCGGATTCAGCGACCCAAAAAACATAAAGTAAGCCAAAAAAATCGCTGTGGACCCAAATTTCCAGGTAAGCTTACCAGGCACCTGCACTAAAAGTAATAATATTTTCCTTGGCGTGTTAGTGTAAATGTCGAAGGCAAATAGTCAAATCAGGCATTTTTTCAAATGCCCATGGCAAGTAGTAAAATATTATTACTTAGATTGGCATTTTGATTATTTTCCTAATTTTAGAAAATATAATTCGTTGCTCCTGTAAAACAGAATTCTCTGAAAAAATATGCAGCATACACTTGGTGTTTGAAACGATTTTTAGTTCCTGAACGCACATTTATTTTGAAATTTTCAGCATATCATAAGACATAGAATTTTTAAAATGTTAGCATTTAAATGTACAAGAGGCATTTAAAGAGGAAGGAACAAGGAGAGTTTGCGGATTTGAAGAGTTATTCTTCCCAAAATATTGAAAGTCCGTGAATTCCTCGCCATACAGTGACAGAATTCCGTAAACTGTCAAAATTTTGACTACCGGCCTAGGCACTTAATAAAATGCCTGATTTTTATAATTGCCTCCGACTTAAATATCTAATAAGTGTTCTGTTTTCCTGAGCCCTGGCGTATCTTAAGCAATTCAGAGAACTCTGGAAGTGTAATAGTAGAGGCGTTCTGTGTCTCTCTCTTCCTTGTCCCCTCTTGATGTTCTCTTCCCCTGTCATGCACGACGATGCATATGTATGTAGTTGATGAAAATTAGGCAAACCGGTGCGCCTTCAATTTTTGCACATGCACCACGCACAACCATGGAACACGAATAGTCGTATCCTGGTGCCGTGATGTAAGAAAGGAAAACGAAGCTATTCCTGTGAAAATGAGGCAAGCCGGCGCGCCTTCAATTTTTGCACATGCACCACTGACAAACATGGAGTACGAATAGTTGTATCCTGGCGCCGTGATGTAAAAAATGAAAACGTAGCTATTTCTGTGAAAATGAGGGAAGCCTTCAATTTTTGCACATGCATTACGCACAACCATAGAGTACGAATAGTCGTATCCTGGCGCCGTGATTTAAGAAAGGAAAACGAAGCTTCATCTGTGGTATTTTTACATCCAAGTGCCGTCATGTGTAAGTAGATAATAACAGTGCCTGAAATCAAACAACCTTTCTCATGTGTTGTCATCAATCAGGTAGAATCTGATATTTTTTTCGTATATTATGTCGAATCATTCCTCAATTCAAGATTACTCTGTTCTTACCCTAGTCTCGAGTTTTTTTGACCCAAGTGATCGTTTCGCCTTCCGGGTCTTAGGAAAAGTTAAACTAAAAATAAACCATAGATATGGGTCTCCATGCAAATTTTGAATGAAATTGAACGAATCAATTTTGAGATATGGCTGCACACAGATTTGGGGGACGCCTCTGACGGACGGACACATGTTTTTTCAAGTTTTTTTTTTTTTCAAATTTTTTTTTTCTTCTTCTTCACTCCAGGCACCTTCAAACGCCTAGAAATGATGGATTTCAACTTTTTTTTTCTTTTTTCTTTGGGGATGACAATACTACTTCTACGTGAGGTGAGCGAGAAAGTAATAAAAAGCAGAGGAAAAATAAAAAAGGAGAATAGAGGAAGAAGAGCAAAGAAGAGTGAAGGGGAAGAAAAATTCAACAGCAAAACTTCATCTCCTTTTTCTTTTCATTTTTGCGCCTCGAGTGTAAGTTTCAAGATAAGTATGTGGTATGAGGTATGTGGCATTTCAAAGCTTTAACTCTCACCTAAAGTTTTATTGGATGTGTGAAAAAAGGAAAACGGTTCTGTAATGAGAGCCGAAAAACGTCGGTAAATTAGCAGAAAAGTGCACCCATCTTATTTGCGACATTTTAAAATTTCCGCTTGCATTTCATTTTATCAAACGAGAACAGACCAACGCTACTGCTTGAAATTTTCAGATTTTTTTTCACCCGGGAAAGAAAAATCTGGGAAATTTTCAATAAATGACGTAAGTACTTTTCCATCTAAAAAATACATGTTGACGGAAAATCTGCAAACTAAGATGTGCGTTCCTGAAATTTCGTCGATTAGCAAAAAAACTCGATCCATTTTTTGCACTCTCAGCAGATCACGTGGACTTTTGCAAGGTATTATTATCCTATTCCTACAAGCTAACAGTATTGAACCGTCTGAAGCGAATAGATGAGTAATCAAAGATGCTAAACCATCACTGATTTATAACTGTTTCCAAGTACAATTTTCCTCGATTTTCTTGCAGAGGAATCTTACCATCTAAAATCTAGGTATCTGAATCTTCTTCCGTCCTCTCATCCGAACAAAAAATTAAGAGACGTTGTTAAGATCTCTCATAAAATGCGCCGTCGGCTGCTTCCCTCATTAATGGACCGTTTGATTAGTTATTTTTTCAAGAAGCGTTATGAAAGTTTCACTGGTGTGTGCGCTCACAATGCTAATGATGTGTGTACCACTCGAGGGCGGGAAATGTGTAAACACATCGATGAAACGCACTGATGGTTGCCGATGTTGCAGGCGTTTTAAAAAGTAGACATGCAAACGAGCTACCTACAGGCGGAGCACTGCCGCCCCGTGTTTAGAAAAAACGCCGGATGAGTGTGTGTTTGGATGTTCCTGTAGAAAATTGTACAGAATAAACACTAACCAACTAATTTATATACTTATTTTTTTAACTCAAAGATCATTCGTGCTGAGTGTAACAGGAACGCATCGAGTCGCATACTTTGGGAAAAAAGTCAGCTGGTTGCAATTATCCGCCTGACGAAAATTCAAAGTGGAAAAAAATACTTTCAACGTGAAAATAGCCATTCAACTTTGTCCTTATCATTGAGTACGAATCATATGTATCCTTTTATACGGGATATATCTTCAAACCTCTTTTTCTAGATTCAAACTTGATGTGACTTGTTACATATCTGTTTAAGGGGGTAAGACACAAAAAAAAAATGTTTCACTATTTCGTAGTACATATCTCACTAAACAAGAAGATGTATTTAAATTATTTTTAACAGGTCTGGGAGACTTTTAATAATTTTTGAAGTTGCGCAATCCAGTGAAAAAAATCAATTACGCCTTGTGATTAGGAAATTGTCTATTATGGGTTCTTTTGCACCAAGAAACTTCCTCTTTTTTGTTAAAATAAAAAACAATTTAAAAAACGAAAAATTAAGCTCTCTGATTTGGCGGAGGAATATTATTAATGTACTACATCCAGTTTATTATGTGAACATTATTTCAAAGTCAAAGCATGAGAGGAAATAAGGAAAACACAAAAAAAGTTCTTTGTGTGGTCATAATTAAAAACTTTATCTGTCACAAGTGTCACATCAATCTATGCAGTTATACCCAATAATATAAAACATTGAAGTCATTACAATACTTAAACAGGAATGCGTTCAATGTAGATTGCGCCATTTCCAGTATCTAAGGCACGAATATGCAACCCGCTTGACCAAAATTGTTATTTTTATTAATACAAGTAATCCCCAGAGAAATTAGGTTTTCATGTCTGTATGGAAAAAAAACCTTTCCTTTAGGGTGCCTAACCCTCTTAACTCGGTCCATTTTATACCTAACTCCATCAAATATAAATTTATTCCTCTATTGTATATCATTTTAACGAATTATCACCTACTTTTCACAAATAAAGGTTTCCAGGTTTTTCTGATAACTTACTGACTGCACATAAAACAAAGTACCCAGGTATTTGTGCCGTGCCCCACGCCGACGCAGAATTATGACCTTAACTGCAAACTCCCCAGGGGTCATGTCATCGCAAATATTCCACAGCGTCCACGACGTCGCGACGCGGCTGGAAAAAGATAGGTTCATCCCCCGCGCTGGCAGAATATTTTAATTCCTCGCTCGGATAATGCGTTTTTAATGGTTTTCGAAAATAAACTGATCCGCTCGGAGATAAAACTAGATTTTTGACCTGTTTCCGCTCAAAAACATTAAGTCAGTTGACTTCTGTAGTTACAGTCGGCTCTCAGTCTTTCTAATATTACCGGATTCTGCCACTCTCTCACAATGACACAGGTAATATAATATAATTTAAATCATAGAATAAAAATACTTTGGTAGTGTAAATATAATATATACTTAAATCGCCAGGCCCTAAATTTTCATTCACCTGTCCTTTCGGAAAATACGTGGTCAAATTGGTTTTGGATTTTCCCCCTTTTTTACAAAAGTTTTGAGCTGTGGGCTGATTTTTGAAATGGATAGACAAAACTATAGACTTAGAAGACAAAAGGGACGTGAAGGGATCTTATTCGTGGAAGTGGGTGGTTGTAATGGAGAAAGAAGGTACTAATAGTAGATCAATGGACTGACAAACAACCCACGAGAGATCCTATAATTTGACCATCACTTTCTCCCGGAGAAACTATGTAGGAGCCAACCATTTTAAGCAATAGGATCGCTCCATATTCCTTTGTCTTCTTTGCCTATCGCTTTGTCAATTTCAACCGCAATTTCAATAATCAGCCTGCAGCAGCTCTATTACCAGCCTTTTTTCCAGGTCATCAATATCCACTACAAAATATCACCAAAAAGTTACTCAGCGCAAAGAAAAGTAATCTTAGATCTCATACTACTCACGATGGAGTCCAAGTCCATCTTTTAAGAAAGTATTTGTTCGGTTTTCCAATTTTTCAATTTTATCTAAAACCACCAAACTCAGTTTTTGCAATTTTTCCGCGGTTTCCCCATTTTTTTCAAATTACAAAATTCAAATTGTGAACTAAAAATTTAAATAGGACTTGGAAATCACTATGAGCAATGAGCGTTGTAAGGACAAAGATTTTTTTCGTCCGAGCGCGGCGAATAACTAGGACTTTAAGGGGCGAACCCGTTCAGTCGCGAAAATGAGCACGGTTCCTTTGAGTCAATTTGATCAAATCATTTAGTCCCGTTTTATATACTTTCATCGATCCCTCGTTTATCTTTTCTCTAGGGACCTTTTAAGGTTCTTTTAAAATGTTCTAATCATTATTACCAATGCTTTTTAACTCAATCCAACTGTACTGTGCATACGTAAATCATTGATCGATGAATCCGAGGTGGAAAAAAAGAATTTTTGCACATCCGCGGTGAATCACGTCAATGATCGTGTCCATATGTAGAACGAAACATATCTCTAGTAATACTAAACGTTGCTTTTTGGCCTTTGAAACGATGTCCAGGGTAGCGCAGGTTGCAACTACTTGCAAGTACATAACGATATTATACCTGCTGTATCCTACACTGGAAAAAAACACATCGGATCTAGAGTCCAGACTTTTAAAAACATCGACAAGAAAAAATACTCTGGATTCAGTCGAATTTTTGCCTAAATCAAGAACCAAGCCTCTTAATTTGAGCGGATTTCCTTTTGATTTAAGCAAAAATCTGATTGAATCGACAGTATTTTTTCTTGTCAATGTTTTCAAGAGTCCAGACTCTAGATCGAATGTGTTTTTTTTCCAGTGTAGCTGTATACTAGTGTTGTATACGTTGCCTATAATACTAATTGAAGGGGTTCCCTTCTTTGAAAACTATGTTACGTTAAAACTGAAATAAGTTGCGATTTATTTTTGCATTGCAAATGCTGCTTACTGCAAAATGATGTATAATCAATGTAATTTTTTTTGTCTGACCGCACCGAGGAAGACAGCCGTTGAAATTCTCGGGCGTTGCCGAATTTCCTCTGATAAAACATTAATATGTTGAAGAACGAGTGAATAATTTGTTTCCAATATTTCAGAGATTTTCAGTGTCTGAAATTTTCAGGGAAAGATACTCACAACTTCCCAAAGAATAATTATCCCATCGGCGGAAATTCGGTGATAACCGGAAGCTCATGCGACGTTTTCCTTCAGCATCTCCTTTTTTTACTTGTTTAATTAACTTCACATTTTAATTCGACAGATTATGAGGATTTCAGTTTGCTTGATGGCCGTCATCGCTATGGTAGCTTGCGCACCTCTTGAATCCGGCGAGAGCTTAAAAACCGACGAGAGCGTTGGACTTGCGCTCGGACTTGGTTTTAAAAAAGTCGCAAAAAGTTTAGATTTCGGCCTCGGTTTTGCCCTAAGCGTTGATTCACCTAAAGCCTACCCTGCTTACTATGGTTACCATCCTTACGGCTATGGATACCCTCACTACTATCCTGGAGGCGGTAAGAATCAGCTCTCAATTTAAGTACGGATGAAATGGACTACATTTTGCAAAAAGGAACCATTATTTCTGGCTCATTTTAGAAACAACATATATGATATTGATTTCCCTAAGCAGAAAGGTGCTTTTGTGGAAGTGCCAGAGCTAGTGGTTCCTTATATTGCAAAATGTAATTCAAATAAGGTATCAGAGCAAGTGCCTTATTTGGATCGCATTTAACAAAAAGGAACCAGCGCAAATACAGTGTTTTTAAAATGTTGCTTCTTCATAATTATCTAAAAAAGTCTCCCAAAATATCAAATAGTTTTCACATCCTACCAAAAAAATGTTTATTTCAAAGGGAAATAATTGTGTTACTTTTAATACTGTATATATATTTATTATTTTTAAAAGAAAAAAAGAATTTGTACGGCTTTGAAAGCACCGTACTCACGCTTGTTTCTTTTTGCTGAATGCGATCCATTTGGACGGCTTCTAATATGGATTACATTTTGCAATGAGGAACATTATCTCTGGCTCTCCCATAAAAGCACATATCTGCATAGGGAAACCAATGGCATATATGTTGTTTCTGAAATGAGGTAGAAATAGCGGCTCCTTGTTGCTAAATGTAATCCATATAATCAGCCTAACTACGACAGACGTTGCCCTACGTCTCCTATCATACCGTTGACAAAAAAGTAGTCAAAATTCTGCTTTGACATGTTTTTGATACATTCTTTACAATCTAAAGTAAAGTCTCAGAGAATTTCAAAGCGTCATGTTGCTTCGTTTCACCGTAAAAACACGAGACAAGAAAGAGTTTGGTAACGTGAATTGCAGTTATGCTGGTCCTAGTTGGACCGCGTTAAGCAGAAACGAACGAATCCGCATCAGCTATTGCCTTTGATTGGGCAATTTCATTTTTTAAGTGAAACCGGTTGTGCGGATTTTTGTGCAAATTCAGTGAATTTTCTGCTTAATACGAAGCAAATTCCTGAAAAACTTCAAAGAAATCCGCACAAACGTTCTCTTATAAAAAATCATATTGCTCAGTTAAAATTGACAATAGCTGATGTGGCTTGGTTCCTCTTTAAACGTGGTCCGGTTAGCTTTCAATCTTTAACAACTACAAAGGTTGTTCTCTGGGAGTTTAATCCCTGGTTGAAAAGAAGGAAAGGAAGTCTGCCAAAATGTGGAAAACTTTGTAAGAACAAATGGACGGTGCCAAATTTCCTCTAAGTGAATATTTATGTTCGAGGAAATTTTTAAATATTCGTTCTTGAAATGTTCAGGCATTTCAGCTAATATTGCGTATAAATTCCTGAAAAAAATTGGAGGAAAAATATTCGTAAGTTTTCCTAAAAATGCTTATTTTATCATGGCAACGTCTAAGGACTCATATGTCGCTCTTCCTTAGCAAAGCAGAAATACCAGTAGACTACTATTCTAGTTTCTTACTAATTTTTTCGTAAAGTTCAACAGCTTCATCTATAATAGGTAAGAATATTAGGTGGTAAAATCGTTTTCACATGAAATAAAGGGTAATTTAGTTGTAGATGAATGCCGTGGCTGTGTTCCTCAGCGAGTGCCCTCCAAAAATATGGAGAAAGATCTAATAGATCCTGGAAGGAGAGATGGTGTCGAGACGAATACAGATTCGGTGCAAAATAGGTATGGTAGGATGTAAGTGGCATGGAAAAGAGCAAAGCATGCAGAAAAAAACCTGCTTGTTTGAAAGTACGATATTTCCTTGTTTAAGGAGCACTTTTAGAAATAGCACATGAAAAGAACGATTTTCCAGCGTGTATTGAGCTGAAGGGAGGAGCTTAAAGTCCTACCGCGCCCACCATTTATCCTTTTTATCCTTTCACTTGCACTTCCTTCATTGGCACCGGCGTTACGACCTTTAAATTGGCACTTTGCTTTTGCTTGCAGACCATGAGAAAGGAGGATGAGTCGTTACACATTCAAATCTTGTTCCAACTTTTTCAAATCAGGTGTATTTACGGATAGTACGTATACCCCTTTAAACACGAGGGAACAAAAAAGGAAAGGGAGAGGAAGAGGGGGAAAAAAGGAGAAGAAGAAAAAGACTACTGGCACAAAATATTATTTTATTTTGAGTTCACCGTTCCATCTAGCCTTTCTATCTAGTTTATGACTTTCAATTTGTTCTCGATAAACAGAATTGCATATCAGTGGCGTAGCGTTCTTTTCGATATATCGATAGATTTGCCGTTGAAACCCATATGATGGAAAAGGATCGATAAACTGGGTATCTGCGACGAAAACCTTACCATTCGATTCTTTACTGTAGCTCGAGAAAGGGGAAATATCGCTAATCGATCATTCACGCTTCGCCATTGATGCATTTATATGTGACCATCCTCGAGAAAAGGGATCTCAATGGCACGAACGCAGGCAAGTTTTTTAGGACAGCTGTCCGGAGCAGAAAATCAGCTTTAAAATTTACGAGAGAAAACACACGCTAGTGTCCTAGATAATAAGTGAAAAACACACAGTAAAATCTCGATTATTCGCGATTTGGAGTGCCCGCGGTTTATTCCAGTGACATTGGTCCAAAAATGTTGCAAATTTATGGCATAATGATGTTTGCCAAAATGAATTCTTTTTAGATAAAATTTATTCGTATTTGGCTAATAATGACACTTCTGTCGAATATTTGACAGCTGTATCAATGCAGTTTTTTTCCTTTTTTTTTCCCTTTTAATACAAAGCCTTTTCGGTCCCTTTTCTTGTTTGAATAGCGTATTGTTAGATGCATAGCAAAGTTACTGAGTTTTGTTTGACAACTGATGCATTTTCTCAAAAGTGGCTGCAGAGCCTTTTTTTGAAAATTTTTGTGATTTTTTTAAGATTTGATGAACATTTCCTGATATTTTCGATGTGAAATTTTCACCCATTAACACATAAAAAGGCGGCTTCAAGTGAAATTTTGAAGCGTTATAGGGTGTTCCAGTTCATCTGGTCTTGGCATTGTCAATAGTGCGAGATTTTTAATTTTTTCGTTTGGTTTCGTTTCTTTTTCAGCCGCAGCAGCAGCAGCAGCGGGTCCAGGGGGTGCTGCAGCAGCCGCCGCGGCCGGCAAATAAGAGGCCTGTTTTTGCGCCGAGGTCTGTGGAGACTGAAATTTTTCCGGAAACTTCTGCGGAGATTTAGACGCATCCTGTTCCTATTGTTCCTCAAATAAACACCATAAAGACGCCACAACCTGCAAATTTCTTTCAGCTGAAACTTGTGTCCGACCAAGGAATTTCAGCGTGTCACAGAACCGAGTTTTGATGGTTCAGATTGCAAAAACTGTAGAGGAAATTGTTAAAATTCACGAAAAAGGAAACCCTTTTGCAGTGTTTTTAAGTAAGATTTACTTTTAATACAATTTACGTTGTAGCTCTGAAAAAACTGTTATAGGTTTTATTTTATTTTTTGTTGACACTTTTTTATAAAAGAATTTTTCGTGTTGAAAAACTACAGCAGATCTTCTCAGAGGTTTCTGGAAAAATTAGGTAAGATTTCTCTCTTGTAAATTCTACCAAAAAAGGGTTTTCTTTTTAGTGAATTTTAACAGTTTCCTCTATAGCTGTCTTATTAAAATTTATACTTTTATGTTTATAAAAAAATAAAAAATTCAACACTTGTTTCTAACGAGGATTGATTACGAGAAAATAACAAAATCTGTCCCTAATGCACCCCTATAAGTCCAGTAATTTCTTTGGCATTTCCTTGGTGAGTCCGTGGTGAATGACGTCATGAGAACATGTACATCATGACTTTTCTTACATTGGCCTTATAAATGGTGCATGCAGAGACAGACAAAGTGCAAATTATGTTCGTCACTTTAGATAAACAGTGGTAGAGGAAAATATGGTATTTGTTATATTAATCCTATCCCGCACATAGTCCTCACAAAATCTATTTTGAAGAGAAAAAACTGAAGAAAAATTATGCATATTTGCCCAGGTTGAAAGTTAAAGTACGAATGATTCACTCTAAATTATGGGGATTATTTCTTACATTGGGAAAATAAGAAATTTTCATGCTGCGATTTTCTCAGAAGTTACTAAGGAAATGCAAAGCTTACAGGCAACTAGTGTGTTTTTTAACTGTCGCTCCCTGGTGCGTTTGTTGCCTATGCTCGGCAAAATTGAAGGCGAACCTCAAATGCATGGTATCTACGAGTGGGTTCACGCATTGTCTATATTTAATATATCAACGTTTATGGAGCAAGATAGATGTGTTTTAGGAGTAGATAACTATTCGCGCTCCCCAGTAGGTTTGTTGCACGGAGAAAAAAAACCTCGTGCGTGGGACCCGAAGTGTAGGTCATATGGATCTCTGAAGTTTTCAGATTGAGCGTCTGAACACTTTGGGTCTAGCTGTCGAGGTTCGGATCACACATCTGAAACTTCAGTTCTTACTGAAGTACTTCGATTTCCACATCCGAAAAACTTCGATTATCACATCTGAAGTACTTCAGATGTAAGAACTGAAGTTTCAGATGTGTGATCCGAACCTCGACAGCTCGACCTAAAGTGTTCAGACTCAATCTGAAAACTTCAGAGATCCACATGACCTAAACTTCGGGTCCCAAGCACGAGGTTTTTTTCTCCGTGTACGATGAAATTGAAGGCGAACTTTAAATGAACGATATTCATTTAGCGGCTCAACATCATTTAAGGTTCAATAAAAGCTTACAAAGTCGAGTAAACCTCAGATTTTTAAATAATCATTTTATTCGCTTTATTTGCGATCCTAGGTATATGCTGCCTTCCCGTTGCATAATCGAAGTCAAATTTGAAATGGGTCATATCCACCGGCAAAATGACACACCATTTGAAGGTTCAGTCAAAGTAAGCAGCGAGTTAACTAAATGTTCTTCGAGTAGCTTACTATTAGTTCTCCACGGAGAAGATCAGTGGCAAGATGTGAGTGATCAATATTTCCCCATTTGAAGCTATGGTCCGAGTTTTGAAGGCTCCTGTCCTGTAAAGTTCGGATTCAGGAATATGCTAGTATCATTTTTGAGCACGATCAGTCCGGAAATCATATTTTAATCAAGTTAGCACAGCCCTAATCTTAACAAAAGCTACCCTCTGCTGAACTGATATTGAACATGCCTAGGTTTCATATTCAGGCTATGCTCGTGCGAAATTATTCCATCCACCAATATCTTAACGTTGAACCTTTAACTTTTGAAACGAATGAAAGAAAACGATGCTATTTGAACGTATATACAATGAAGACTATGCGAAAGCAACAACACCTAAGATTTTAAGTTTTGCACTACCAGTGCGAAAATACACAAGTTTATGCTTTCTACGACGTGGTACTATCATAGAGAATCTCAAAAAACTCTACTCATCTACAGGCGATTGATCTAGTCTTTGACCATTGGCGATCGAAACAATCTTACTGTTCGTAATGTGTTTTTAATGATTGATGCGTTTAAGAGACCATCAGCTCAGTGTGTGATGGAACATGATCTTGAACTCCTTCTATTCAACAACGTAACGGTGACGGATAACTTTGAAGGTCTTTGTTTTCTTTATTGTGTCCAGAATGCATTGGCATCAGTTTAATTCCATCGCAGCACATGTGGTAGGTAATTCAAATATATTAACGCAATAAATGTATAATTTTAATCAATGATATCCCGCATTATAAAAATATCACAAATTTACCCTTGACTCGCATTGCAATACAGCGAAATTTTATTTTATAAACGAACGAGAATGTGAGGAAACACAAAATTATACTTGACTTGCATTACATTTATGTAAACTTTATTATGAGTGAACATGAATCTTAGGCATTTTGGATATTTAAAATATATCATTTAACTGTTCCATTTTTTCAATCATGGTTTTACCTTTATTGATAATTTTTATTTTTAATTATCCGTTTAAAAATATAAGTTTTTCTTGTTCTAAAAATGGGTTAAGTATACTCAAAAGGCGCCCGACTCATGTAAGTCTATAGACAAAGTTGGATATTTTCCAAGTTAAGTCAAGTCTAAGTTAGGGAATTTATTATATCATGAGACTATTGTTAAAAATATTTTATCTTTGCTGTTGTTGGCATTATTTTTAGGGCGATAGCGTGACTAAACATGCAAAGTTATTTGGGTAATTAAATTCTTAGACGTGATGCATAAACCACCTCTAAACCAATCATTTGATCGCAAATTCTACTCAATCCAAGCATGCTGTAAAAGGTACCTCTTTTAACAAACTACAATGAAGTTGTAGCACAGAAAATCTTCAAGGGTGTCATTTTAGCTAAAGTTCAGGGGGACAAAAGTTGTCAAGAGAAAGCTATACTTACAAGGGTGTGAGGGCAAATCTTTATGTAGTCTGGAAAAATTCCCTAAAATTGATACAACTTCAACCAAAATTGCTCACTATAAGGCAGTTTTTGCAAGTGAGAGGGAGGGGAGAAACTTTAACCTCACTGCCCTCCCCGAATGATATCCTTGAAATTTTCCCGCGGGCGATGACTGTTTTTTCAAAAACACTTTTAAAATGCAGAAAGTTTGTTTTTCTGAGAATTATAGGTAGTTTGCTACTAGGATACCTTTAACTTTAATAGAGAATCACACATGTACACACATAATTACAGACAGCCAAAACACCATTAAAAATTGTAGAGTGAAAACTGGAATGCATTTCTGTGCCCCCAGTCAACCGAGGTGATATGGGTTTAGAGCTAAATTGACCCTTTTTGAGGATTTAAAATCTCTCTAATATAGTGGATTTCAGTCCTTATCCCAAGTAGCAGTGATCGCGATGAGTTGCAATCTGTTTGGAGAATACATCGCGATTTTATCGATGGCGATTTATTGCAATATTATCGAAAATAATTGTGGTATAGTATTTTCGATTTTATGTGGAAATAAAATCACAACAAGATTGAGGATGATCGCACAGGTGTTGATTATCCTACGATTTTATCGCTAAAAAATTGTAAACAAATCGCAACCTATTTGCAAAATATCGCGATTTTCCCGTTGAAAAATGCTACTTGGATATTCATGACATTCAAGTCTGCTGGGGACAAAAAAATTGCTTCGCTGTATGCTGAATGTTTTCTCATAACATGATCTTTTCCATTCCCGCCTACAGATCATACAAATTACAGTTTATTTGATGGCAACAATCTTTTTGGCAACTTGTGCACCTCTAGAATCAGGCGAATCAGTTAAGCTCACGAGAAGTTCACGTGACGTTGCCCTTGGATGTCTATTTCCGGGAATAGGGATATGCGGGCCTAGCCAGAATACTGGTTACGGTGGTTACAATGGAGGCTACCCTTCTCCTCAACCTGGTAATAATCCATTCTGATTTTATCTCAGAGGTATAACAAGAGGCATGTCAGTAATATCATATAATCAATTCTTCAAAAACCTTATCGTGTTAAGGAACACTCATTCAAGCGTCGGAAGCAAAAACATTGTCAGGGTTATCGTGTTTTCAGTTTTTGAGTCCTTTAATAAGATGGCAACCCTGTAAATGTACTTCCTTCCTATCTTTGCACGAAGAGTTTGACTTGATGTGAAGAAGGACTCGATATAGAGGTGGACTCGATATAGAGGTGGACTCTCAGCAGAGGCGTGGCGTGAATGATAGATTATCGATATTTCTCCATTTGAAGCTATGGCAAAGAATCGATTATTAAGGTGTTCGCTGCGAACACCCTGTTTATCGATCCTTTTCCATAGGTTTGAATGACAGATCTATCGATATATCGCAAAGCACGCTACGCCACTGACTCTCAGGGTAGCGTTCGATATCTTCTACAGTACGGCCTCAACTTTGAGAGCTTTTTTGAGGTTTGAAGTTGATTTCAGAGAAATCCAGTGGCACTATCGTCTTTGTCGCTAAATTTTACAGGGGAGCCAGTGCTTAAATCGCAAATTCCTGACACATACAAAAGCTCCATTATCGTAGGTATTCTGAGTCCTTTTGTAAGACATGCTATACATGCCAAACTGTGAATTATCTGGAGTTTTCTCTAACCTTGCATCCTTTAAAAACGCTTTTTAATTGCTGTTTTAACTCGATATCATATTCCTTCTTTCATTCAATTCTTTGTTTCAGTTATTGCTATTCAATCGAACCCCGATGGCTATGGACCGTGGCAAACGGGAGCTACTTTAGTCGGTATAATTGACACTATTACGTATCCTCTAGCGAGCGGCTATAGTTCAATTATAGGCTAAAAGTTACATTTCGACGGTGAAACTGAACAAAATGCGTATTTCCGTGGCGGAGTTTTGAAATCTCCGCTACTTTTTATTTCCTAAAGGGAAACTGAACCAACATCATAGCTTGAAGTTTTCACAGAATATTCTCTTTAAAGAGAAGGAAAATCACTAACATTTTTAAAAAATGGCATCCAGTAGTTTTCCATGTAGAAAATAAAGTATGGAGCGAAGTCTGCATTGCCGAAATCCGAGATACTCACGCATTTGTGCAGTTTCGCCCTCGATATATGGAAACCCTTGAATATTCTCAATACTGTTTTTAAATTTTTTCCTATGGGAAGCTCATAATAATGTAAGTAAATCATGCCTTTGTATATTCATCGAATAATTTTACCTTCTACATTTTACGTGTTTAAAACACGCCTCGTAATATTATTATGATTTCACGCCATCACACAACAATAACGCACTTATCGATGTAATGCACAAGAAGACACTGTGGTGTTGCAAGCCATGCAGGTGCAATGCATAGAATAATGCCGACGTAGCTAAAAACTGGTATTTACAAATGCATCTTGTTCAAGTGGACGTATTTATGCTAAAAGGAACTATGTTGTATAACGCAAAGCCTATGCACATAGTTTCTTTTAGCATAAATATGTCCAATTAAGAAATCATTTTACAGCCAGAAAAAGAGCGCGGCGGATTTGGCGCGTTTTGGCCAGATATGCAAAGAAGTCAGTGCGCCTTCATTTGTTTGAATTTGCAAAATAGATATCCATGAAGCCGGAATAGTTGCATTAAGGCGTTTCTATAATTCAGGCTACATTTTGCAATAGGAAATTATTATTTCTGGCTCATTTAGAGGAGCACGTATCACCGTAAAGAAATCAACCACACAAATTTTTATTTTCAGCAAGAAAGATTTGTCTGATCTTGACTCCTGTTCACGAATTACATATCACTCCGGGGTATTCACGATGAAACCAACAAAAAAACCGAATTAAACAGAGAGGAGTAAACAGAACCTAACACATTTCGAAAATTGAGCAATAGTGGTTTTTACGTGAACACCCCGAAATACTCTGCTATAGTAAATATAAAGTCGAGAGAAAAATAATGTAGTTATGTAAATATGTGTTGATTTTTATCTTAAATATTGTTCCCTATGGAGGAATACAAATTTAAGCCTCTCCTTCTTGGCTCAATCTTGATGGGGCTTAAGTTTTTTTTTTTTACTAAAACTCGTCAAAACGAGCTTTTAGTCTCGTTCTGTGGAGGAACCACGAAACATTGATTCATTTTCTCACTAGAGGCCTCCACTGTCGGTCATCATTTTTAAGGTCACTTTCGATTTTGTTCCGTCAATTTTTTTTTCAGTTGCAAAGAGAGTGGTTGGAGATAAATTGCGCCGTTATGCAATACGTGCGTGTCTCCCCAACAAAAATCACAAACGATTATTCCTCATTCACGGAGGGGGGGGGGGTCGTATTAGCCCCCGTACATTGATATAATGCATCAGTTTCCTCCGTTATAATGTGTTTTTAATTGTCTCCAATGATCAGCTATTCAGTGAAATGATAAGACAAGATTTTTGTACTGATTCCGACCAAAAAAATCCTCCAGATATCTCTAGTGTTTATTGTTGATTTTTTTCGTGCTTATAATGGGCTGAATTTTGCCTCTTCTTCGTGAGAAAAATCAGGTAATTTTAATTTTGATCCCTTATTTAATCGTTCTCCTCCTGTTGTCTCCCGTATCTTACATCGGTCCATTATTCACATTTTGAATGGAAGGACCATTAGTAATAAAGCCCTGAACAGATGTTCGAAATCAAGTCTCTGTAAAGTTTGTCGATCTTTCAAATTACAATTAACGGAATAAATCAATGCAGTTGCAATATTTTGACGCCTTAAACGTGGAACCATAAGTAACCATAAGGAACCATAAGAGCCAGGCTGAAACTGTGCTTCAATCCATTAAAATTGAAACGCTGGATGCAGAAAAAGCATTTTTTGGCTGCAGTGTCTCAAAATCTCCTGTAAAGGTTTCATCCGTTATGATTAAAGCAAATGCATGCAATTCGTTGTGTTTTTAACTGAATATTCTGAATGATTTTACAATGATGAAAACGTAGAATTTCAGAAGATTCACCGATTAGTTTCCTCTCTAAGATAAAAATTAGCACTGGAGACTCTGATGATCTTCTGAGATTCTAGCAACCCAGAAATGCCCTTTCTGCACCAACGCCTCAAAGGCTCTTCCTATTTGAGAAAAAAATTGAAATAAATAGAGTAATGGTCAAATTGTAGGATTACAATTTAGACGTACACTTCTCGCATAATAATGATAATCTGACTTTGTTGGGTACTAAGCAGAGGCTTTGTAAGGTGTTTTGTTGAGATATCTTGAGAACTACACTGAAATACAAGCAGTGAACTCCAACACAATGTGTTGATAAGGCGCGTCATTAACTCGTACATATCAACCCCTTTAGTTTTCATTTACAGAGATTTCAAAATAGGCAAGCAGCACAACAAGAGAATTCACGATCCAACACTGCAAGGTCAACGACGCACCTTGATGAGACCGTGTATTGTGAATCTAGAAAACTATTCGAACGAATTTAAGTTTTTTGATCTGCCTCAAGCAAAATCTTATCAGATTCTTGAAGAAAAGTGCTACGGAATAATTTAAGCGAAGAAAGGAAAAATTCTGTCGAACTCCTAGAAGATAAAGTAGATTTTAAGGTATTTTGGGGCTAAAGTACCCAAATCATCGGTAGTATAAATCCCGTCATATTATTGAAAAGAAATTGACTCGATATAAATGCACTTATTATTCCACGGTTACATCATACTTATAGTCTTTACTCTTCCTTTCATGACACTAAGTAAGTAACCAGTTGTTCTGCTTTTTGATGTGGTAAAAAAATGGAACCCTCCCGAAGCTTTCTATCTTATGATTGTTTCCCTTGCTAATGTTCTTTCCTCCTATTAACGTTTTTGACAAATGAAAATTATGTGGAAAATAATCTATACTAATAAAGCAGACTTCACGTTGATTGACTCACTCACTGACTGACTGACTCACGTATCAGCGGATCTCGTGAACGGGAGGCCGTGTGACCCTGAGATTCCGCACTGGGATCCCTCTCTACCCCGAGGCGCCGGATAAGGGAGGATTTCGCGATCCGCCCGCCGGTTCGCGGGATATCGCGGTCCGCGTGTGTCGATTTTCCCGTAAGGACAACGGGTGCGAGAGAGAGTGCGAGCGAGATGGAGCAAGTTCCGCGGCTCGCGCTGGAAGACAGCTGATAAA